ATACAGAAAAGAAAACATTCCAGACCTGAAAATTGTGGGCTATATGTATGTTTGATTATGTGTGTGCTGGACGGAACAAAGAAAAGGGGGAGAGAAAACGACTATAGATATTTGATTGAAAGAGAGAAGCAAGAGCAATCCAAACCAGAGCCCCTGCCAACCACCCACAGGCATTCAGTCTGAAACAAGCAAAGAGCACAGTACAATAACATGATATGACAACGCTGTTTAAGACCGTGATAAAATAATGGCAGAATGACAAAATAAACAAACAGCTTTCACAAACTCTTCCCCAGAGTGGCACTCATCACAATTTAAATATAGCATAAGCATAAAACAAACAGTCGAAGACAAACGTGTCACGACACGGTGGCATTAGCTGCTCATCAATTTTTGGGCAATTGGAGTTATTGGTACCATCTGAAAGCTGATTTATTTGCCTTGCTTCTAATGAAATAAATATACCCATTTACCAAGAATAGAATTCAAGATATATGCGATTGAAGCCTGGTTTCAGTGGTGAAATAAGCGAGTAAATAGCCGCCAAAGTTTGGTAACTCCATTAGTTAAAGAGTTTTTGAAAACTGAAAAATGACATATTTTGTGAGTTTATTAATCAATGTTTTCCAGTAAAATTCACATGGAAATGTGTTTTATAAGGACTTAAAAGAGTTTAAGCCAAAAAATAAAAATTTGATAAAAATGTCGAAACAGGTGGAAAAATGCCAGTTTCTCCAATTTAGTTGCGTAAATAGTATCAATGCATCACTGCTAGACTTACTGTCAATGCTTCTTTAGATGTGTAAAAAGTATTAGAGGAAATATTATTATAAGTGCTATGATTGCGTAAATAGTAACAGCTGTAATATCATTGTAAGTTGAGGAACCTTCCACCAAAGCCTTATTAAAACAATATATATATATATATATTATTTACAGTATGCTCTACTCTGTAATGCTATATATATAAATGTATATATTCAGTAAGGAACACAGCTGACAAAGGTGTCCACAGAACAGTTCTAAGCTGATTAAGTTGTAGTTAACAGAACAAAGCGTCATCAACAAACAAATGGCTACAATTCAGTGTGAACTAATTAGGAATTACATTCACATTCAAAAAGAGAACGAAGCAGAAAACCACACCACATTAGATTATAGCGCTTACAAACAAGTTGCAAACAGGAGTAATACGGTATTAAAAAGAAATAGAAAAAACCCCATCTAATTCAGAAAAGCAACCATAATGCAACCTATTCAGCAAGCCAAAAGAATATGTCAGTGGAAGAAAAATCTATTTAACCCTTTCACAACAGAGGCCCCAGATAGTCTGTCCCTGTCTGCGATACAGGATTAGAAAGCTGCCAAGAAAATTTTTTTTAAAAAAGAAAATTAAATTCCTCCTATGTGTAACTTAATGTTCCATGCAAGTTGAAAACCTAGACATAAAAATGCAAAGACAACAGTGCACAGCATCAATTTTCATTTTTACAAAATGCTGAACGCTCACATTGCAAGACTAAATGCTCATCAGCAGATAAAATACATCAGTCAGAAAAACGATTTTTCTCTCTAAAGCCTTTCGCTTAAACATAATGTATACAGGAACACTAAAATAGTCACACAGTGACCAAAGTAGTCTGACAAAATTCACAGCATAAGCATAATTGTGTTGCTAAAAAAATTATATATACATGTAGCACCTTTGAAAAATATTTTACAGCAAAATCTACTAAAGCCTGCTGTGGTGTTTTAGTTCATAAAAACATGAATGTATGACCCAGAAAAATTAAAATTACAATTGTTCTAGTTCTAACCCATACTAACACAATACAGATCAAATGGGAGGCAGGCTAACCTCATTCAGGTGGGATACAGCATCCAAGCAGAAAGACTCAGATAATGAAATAAGCACATTTCCCCATGCCCAGGAAGGAGTCAAACCCATATCTTTTGCTGCAAAAATAAAAAGTATAGCCATTTCACCACAGACATCCTGGGGGAAAAAATTATTAACAAATGTCTTTTTTCAACAACAACAACAACAACAACCAAAGTAACAGCAGAAGAAAGTTCAATGAAAGCAACAGTGAAACATATCTTGAAAGACCTTCATTACGCAACATTCCTTATCCTTAGTAATGTTTATTACTCAGCGAAAATTCAGCAAAGTGTCCTGGTTGATCAGAAATGCAATAAAAAAATTGTGAGGAACAAAAGAATTGTGAGCTTGAGTCTGAGCAACATCATACTGGTGAGGAGCAGCTTCATCCCAGCCCATAGTGCTGATCTATTCCAGGCATAGAACAAGTTCACCTTTTTAAAGCTTTTAAAAAAGTTTTAGTAAGTGTTTTACGGCACTTGCAACACAATATCATGGTCAAATAAGTGCCGAAGATTAGAGGTGTTACAAGAGAGTAACAAACACAAAAAAGAAGGAGGGGAGATAAAGACGATAGATGTTTGATAGGACAGAAGAAGCTGCAACGGAGGAAAATACCTGCCTCTTGAACCAACTTAAAATGAGAAATTTAACTTAATACACACACAGACGAATGACAAGCAATCTATCCCGCCCTCCCCCAGCCCAACATACAACTGCATAACAAAAACATTCAAACTAATAGAAGATGTATAATCAGAGTCACTCTGAAAACATTCCATATCAGTAATCCCTACCTCCATTACACCAGCATTCTTTTAAATAATCAGTAATGTAAACAGACAAAGAGATCATTTACTAAATACAATAAATCACAAAAAGATCAGCCGATAACCTGTGCCCAAACCCCTTACAAACAATGGATGTGACCAAAATTGCAACTTGTAAGTTGTCAAAATACATCTGACAAAAGACAATACAACAACAATGACATAAAAATGTAAACAAGAAATATTTGCTTTGCTTTGATTATGGGGATAGAGATCCTGAATACAAAAAAAGAGGAAGAGGCGTGGTTCAAAAAACCAAAATAATTCAGATCAATCATTCCATACTATATAAATCTGCAACAATTGCACAATCTGTCATTTTTTGTAAGTAAAGAAACCTGAGCATGTCTATGACATAGACACCTTAGGACAAGGACATAATTAATCAAAATTAATATCCTGTTTCAAAATGACAACAATAAGGCACTTTAAAATCTTTGTCTTAAGAACATTCATATTACATCACATTTGAGAAAGAGGCTCACAACCTTAATGCAGTAATTCCACAAAAGACGACGATTAGAAATGTGTCAACAGTAGCTTAACAAGGTAGACATACCTTACATTTCATCGACTGCTCTGCTTTTCATATTCGCTAGGCGGAATTAGATTTATCATTCCTACTTTCTTGTGTAACTCCGCTGAATTTGGGGAACTCTCAAAAGGAATCTCCTATTTCAATGTTAAAATTTAATAAGCACATTCTGCCTGACACTGAAAAATTATTTTTTTTAATCATTGTATTATTTCCTGTGGCACATTGATAGCAGCCAAATATGACTTATACTGTTAAAAATTGTTGAAATCACAATTAAAAATTAAGTCCAATGTGGCAAACACATTACATCATATTACACAAATTATTATGTGTAAGGCACAATAACTTTGGTGAAGAAGATCTGGTTTATTTTTGGAGAAATGCATAAATGGAGTAAAACTGCAAATAACTATTCCAGCTAAGTAGTTTCCGGCATGATGGAAAACATGCATAAATACGATCAGAACGGACAGTATTGAGTATTGAGTCATCACAAAAATGAAATGTCTATCAATATCAATCTGAATCAAGCAAGAGATAATTGCAAAATGATTCTGTAGTAAATGGGAAGTCAAAATCTCACAATTTGACCTTCATTGACGAAGTATGGTTATACTCTTTCAAGACTTATATAGGATATACCCAGCAGCCACAATGGGGTAAGGGGAGGTAATACCACCTACACCAGATTCTTTTCCACTTCCAACTGAACTCGACCCACATTATCAAGGGAAATCACAACGCCATCATCACTTTCAACGTTGCTTATCAGAGCACTGCCTTGCACATCATTGCAAATAACCCCTGATGCATCAAAACTCTTGTCCAAGGAGACAAAATGCCACTAACAACTATCTGGAATATATTAAAACTTTACACAGCTTCAAACCATTGGGCATGACCCTATTTTCTCAAGGAATTCACCAAATTAACTGGCCGGATAACATTTTTTCTTTTCGTTCATAACTCTCAAATCATACATGATACTTACAATTGCCGAAGAAGTGAAAATAGTCGGCATACAGACAATATACATATGAGTGTTATTGTGGTGAATTCAAGCTCTCGTCAAAGTGATGAAATTAAAGAAACTATCCTTTTTTCCAAACATTGGGAATTTTTATACAAAATTTTGTTTTTTGGCTCAACACCTTTCATGTCCATTTAAATAGATCTCTTCATAATTCTGTGTCGATTTTACTGAAAAAAGTTGATCAAATGCACAAAAATTTTTAATTTTCAGCTTCCAAAGACACTTGAGCTTTGGTGGTCACTAAACTTCAGTGGCCATTTTCTCTCTTATTTTACATCAGATACTAGGCAACCCCAATCTCCCTTCAGTCACGAATATCACAACTTCTATTCTAGATAGATGGGTACTCTTCTCAAAAAGAAAAAGACAAATGAACACACTTTAAGAGGATACAATATCTCCATCTACCCAAAAATTGACAAGAGCCTGAAAAACACTATGTTGTGACACTTAATATATAATATTATTATGATCCCTCCTGGAATGGCAAGGCACAGCAACACGCAGCAGTAGTTTAAATTAACAAAAAAGTTAACAGCATAATTTCTCAAAGCCTATATTATACAAGTATCTCAAAACTTGCACACTGAATAATTCTCATTTTAAAGAGTTACACAGTTCAGAATGAACACTTCGAGTACAGTACCTACTTCCTCTGACATACAGATATATATATATATATATATATATATATATATATATATATATATCACTATTTTAGTTTTCTCCTACAAAGACTGAAATGACAAGACAGTCCCTCAAGAGTTTTACACTAAAGCTACGCTATACTTTTATCCTGCTTTTATTCGCGGAAACCCAATAAATATAGAGGAAGCTTACAAGTTACAATGCTTGTGGCAGAAGCTTCCCGAGATCTCATAAATACACTGATGTTCATATCACACAACAGTTTTTTCACAGGGTTCATAATAAAAGGAACACAATTTCAAACACTAACCAAAAAAAAAGTACATCTCTACCTCAAGAAGACAATGACAGCTCTTAACCAATACATTTAGAAAGAACCAGAAGCATTCAATAAGAACATTGATTCAGCAGCACCTATGTGACTAAACTTGGCACCTTTCAACATTATACAACATCCACCACAGTTTACCGAACTAGTGGAGACCATCTCTAACCTGATGGGTTCTCAGGTGGTGGGCAGGGAATGGTTCCTGAATGATCATTGTTGGATACCTACAGTTTAGATTTCAGCTGCAGCTTCAGCTCTCCACCAGACTTTCTATCTGGCTGTCGCGATAAGGCAAAGGCCAGCTCACAAGCTTTCAGCATTTTGTCCAGATCTTTGAAAGGGACGCGTTTGTTCACAGGCAAGTAGAGGACATGGTCTATCATGTATTTCGCCTCATGGGGATATCTTTTGTTCACTGCTGCTGAATCCTGCAATATAATTTTTAAAAAGTAAAGTGTTTTAGTTAAGAGTCTTTTGCCCCCTTGAATAACCTAATACTGTTGATAGAGTCGTTAACAACACTTTCTTCGAGATTTATATGTGCCAAAGGTAAGAGGTGTTGCTAGAGAGTAGCATACAAAGAAAAGAAGGAGCAAGAATTAGGATGATAGACGTCTGACAGGAAAGAAGGACCAAACAACAACAGAGTGTACTCCAACCAATACAGATTTGATCATAGGGGGAAAAATTGACACATTATGTGGCACCTCAAAGCTGGCAAAAGAATGGGAGTTTTGAAAAAAAACCAACATTCAACAGCTTTTCCGATACTCCAAAAATACAAGACAAAGCCACAGATTTGGTAGTGATAAAAACTTTAAAGTCAAACACAAGAGTCGGTTGAACAATACTGGCATGGGTCACATGAGAATCTGTTTAGATACTAAACTGGGCAGCACACTTTAGTTTTAGTAAGCGTTTTACAGCAATTGCAACACAGTGAGGTCGTATAAGTGCTGAAGATTAGAGATGCTACTGGAGAGTAACAAAGAAGAGATAGAGGAGAGATAAGGATGACAGATGTTTGAAAGGAAAGAAGGAGAACACCACACCAGACCACTCACTGGGCAGCACACTGAAAGACAATTTCAGTTTTAGTTTGAGTAAGTTTTACGTATTTCTCCAGTTCATTGGCGCTGAATCGGGCAATATTTTAAAAAAGTAGCTTTCATTTTAGTTAGCGTTTTCCGCCTCTTAAATCACATATTATTGTAGATAGGGCTGTTAAACCCATACACTTTCTTAGAACAGTTAAAGAGTTTAATGGCACTTGCAATACAAAAAGGTCTCATATAAGTGCTGAAGATTAGAGGTATTATTGGAGAAAAACATACAAAGAAGAGATGGAGGTGAGATACCTTTGATACATGTTTGAAAGGAAAGAAGGAGCAGACCACACCAGAGCACCCACCAACCACCCACAAGGAGGACACTGGCTTTTCATCATAGCATGTTGAGATATTAATCAACCATGACTGTACAGGAGCTGTTACCAGTCTTCTGAATGTGCCAGTTCACAGTAAATTCTCCTCTGAAACCTACTGCCATACACACAAAATAATCGGTAAAAGCAATTTAGAAAAAAGAAAAAGAAAAAATCAATAAAAGCAACAGCAACACCTAAAAAAAAAAAGCAATAAAAGCAACAATAACAAAAAAACAACAGCAACAAAACATTCAATACAAGCAACAACAACAACAAAAGTCAGCTCCTAACAGATGGCACACCATTCCTGAATAGAACAATGGCACTGTGACTGTAACTGAAGCAACAGACAAAACAGCATCAATAAATGAAAAGGTAGTTAGTCTCTCTCTCTCTCTCTCTCTCTCCCTCCCTCC